GCTCCCACTTTTCACACAACTGCAGAAACCAAATGCCCTATAGGTCCAATAAGCACCACCAGTCCTGCATATTTCCTCTGGTATCTATGCTGGAGTCCATTGGCTTGACCTTTGACCTGTTATCTTCGGGTTCAGAGGGCAGCAGCATTGAATCTTTTATTTCCATCCACATCTGTTCTGATTCCGCCCCCTCCCTGCTCCGCACTGGCCTCTCTGTATATATTACGCCCTGTTAGCATGTCATTAGCATTTCTACTTGACCGTACGGTTAACCACACATTTTTTTCTCTTTCCACTTTTCCTTTCATTTTCCAGTTAGCGTCCACCCCAGTCTATATTTTTTCCCCAACAGGATCAATGATTAAAAGTCCTATATAATCATTAGAGAGAGCCATCCAGTCCATTATTTGTTCAACGTAAAGTGTTAAAAGTGCATGATATTGTTGAATTAAGTATCCTCAAAGTGATATATAAAGCAAAGTGCAATGGATTACCTGTGTGTTGGTAAATATTCAAAGACTGTTTGAGACAAGAACAAGTCACTACAATTTAAAAGGAACCAACATGTTTAAAAAACACAGATTCAGAACCAAGGTTATGGAGCAAAGTACAAGAGCATAGGTTTGCATAGGGACGGTGGGGACATGTCACAACCAATATTTAAGGAAGACAAAACAATCCCTACCAATAATTGCCATTTTATTTTAATAAGCATAAATATAAATTTGCTCAGATATTTTTCAAAACTCACTGGTATTAATTTAACACTTTTTAGTTCACATTTTGTTTATTAGACGTGCTGAGATGTATTCAGTGATATGACGACAGAGTTACTCCTGCCGCCATTTCATCGGCTGTAACAGAGTGATGTCATCAGTGGTGCCAGGAGCCTAAACCTCAGTATGATGTGACAGAGATAAAGGGGCAGTCAGTTGAGTGTGTGGACTCATATAAGTATCTTGGAACACTCATTGATTCAAAATTGAGTTTTGACGATAATTGTTCTGTTGTGTGTGTAAAAGAGGCCCCCAGCGCCTTCACTGTCTGAGAAAGTTGTCCTTTTACCGTGTAGACAGAACCATGATGACACTATTTTATAAAACATTTATGGAATCAGTTTTAACATTTTCATTGGTCTCGTGGTTTGGGAGCATTTCTGCAAAAAACAAGAACTCCTTGGATCAATCGGTTAAATGGGCGAGTGAGGAGATTGTCCATCCTCAGAGCCGCCTGGACTCTCTGTACTCGAGACAGTTACAGAGAATGTCCCAGAGTATTTTAAGAGATGTGCAACATCCACTAAACTCAGAGTTTCAGCTGCTTCCCTCTGGTCAGAGGCTTTTATTCCCAAAATCTAGAACAAATCGTTTTAAAAGGAGCTTCGTTCAGCTGCTATCGTACTTATGAATAAATTGTAATCTGTTTATCTAAGATTGTGTGTTTTTAACATATTTAATATTTATTGTGATTTTAGCCAAGCGTGATGGATGATTTTAATTGGTTGTTTATGGAACAAACCATTCTGCACTGGAGCACTGTAACATTTTATTTTGTAATTGTGATTTTATGTGTGTTTTGTGGATGAATGAAATGTGAAATGTGGAACCTGTCTCTCAAATCTGCAAAGCAAATTTACCTACGGGTACGAATAAAGCAACCTAACCTAAACTGGGGAGGCAGCAGGACAGGGCCAGGACCTGAAGGCAGCTTGAGCAGCGTAAGTGAAGACTTTGAAAAACTTTTCCAAAGGAACTTACTTGGCTTCATCTTCAATTAAACTTGACTTATAATGAGTCGCCGTGGAAAAAGAGCAACTATCTCCACAAGTGCACCGACCAAACAGAGCCCTACTCGTGCGTTATGAGCAGCCAGACTCTACTGACAATATTCCATGGAAAAATGTATGGACATAACCTCACAAATATCTCATCACCGACAAGCAAAAGGGAAATCTACAAACTTCTACATTGATGTTATCCCCTAAAGATTCATGTTAGAAGGACAATGGACCCAAACTGTACATTTTGCAAACTGAAAAATGAAAAAACCTCTCACTTATTTTAGACCTGCCCAGACTCTGTGTGTTTTTGGAAATAATTAATAAAACAAATATGCAACTTCTTATCCCATTTTACCCTTTCTTATAAAGATGTGCTGTTTGGTTTTTGCAGTGTGCATCATACGAAAAGTAAACAATATGATATAATTAATCTGTTAATTAAGTGACCATTCAGGCTGATAATGTCCCCACCAAAGCTGAGACTAAACCTACACCCTTGGCAAAGCATTACTGTGAAAGGAGTTAATTTATGGAAAAGTCTTGACAAAGATAGAAAAGAATCAGTTATGGCATTTAAAAAGCACAGTGCAATGTGTATGTATGAAAAAGGAAACTAAGATGTTGAGCATAAAAGTGAAGATTTCTGTTTGCAATTGATTAATAATTGTGACTGTATTGTCTGGAAAAGCATAACATAACATAACATAATAACACTCTTCTTTCTGCTTCTTTTCATTCATTTCTTGTATGTTTGATGTTGTGAGACTGTTAATGTCTTTTTATACTTTATGAATGAAATACAAAAACAAAAACAAACTAATAAATAAATAACACAACGTTGACTCTTGTGAGCTTTAAGTCATGTTATAATGCTGTTACCTCCTCCAAAACATAACGGGTCTTTTGTTTCATTCACACATATTTGCGTAATCATCTCCAAAACTCAAAATGCTCTGGTCCACCTTGTGATGTCATGTAGGGATCTTTTCTAGTTTCTAGGTTTCTAGCTTTTATCTTTTGTTCAGTAGAGATTGGCAATTCCAGAGCTGAAATCTTCCAAATGATTCTGGTGAAAGTGTATGGAGTTTACAAACACAGTGGAGCACTCCCTGTATTAGCACATGACATCATAAGGTGGAGCAGAGTGTTTTATGTTTGAGAGAAAAGCACAGCATAAATATGCAGGATTCATGTGTTTGTGTGAATCAAAACACAGCTCCAGGTATGTTTTTTGATGAAACATGATTAGAAAATAGTGTGATATGAGCCTTTTAAATATGGGAATCTTTACAAAACCTTCACACCAACATTTCACACATAACACAAGCCAGCGCTGCACTTAAAAAGTACATTTCACAGAATCACATTTATTAAAAACTGACCCCTACAAATGTGTGGGAGTGAAGTTCAGTGCAGTAACAGCACGAGGCTCAATTCCGGCTGAAGAACAGTCTAATCCTGTGAGGAGCCGACCACTGCTGCACACTTCAACAGCTTCATCACATTTCTCTATGAGGCTCCATCACAAAACACTACAACTGTCTTTAATCCGACACATTACAACTGTCTTTAACCCATCCATCCATTTTCTTTCGCTTATCCGGGACCGGGTCGTGGGGGCAGCAGTCTAAGCAGGGACTCCCAGACTTCCTTCACCTCAGACACGTCCTCCAGCTCCTCTTGGGGGACCCTGAGGTGTTCTCAGTCCTTGTTTAGTCCCGGTCTAGTCCTGGTTTGGTCCCGGTCTAGTCTCGGTCTACTCCCGGTCTAGTCCTTGTTTAGTCCTGGTCCGGTCCTGGTGTAGTCCTCGCGATCGGCTCGGTGATTGTGGCATATATATTTAATCTCCGCTCATGTTCGTGATTCTCGTTCTGCTTCTCGTGTCTTGCTTCCTGATAATAACGTCGCTGCGTCATTGGATACTCGTCCCTGATTGGTTGACGCGGCGCGTCTGACGCGAAAAGTTCAGCATTTTCAACTTCTTGACACTGACGCCTTGGACGCGCGTCTAGACCGCTGACGCCAAAACGCTCAAGACGCGCCGCGTCGACGCCAGATTCGCGCCGCGCTGACGCCGAAAACGCGCCGCAAAAACGCAGGACGCTCTAGTCGCGCGTCCACATAGACTTTACATTGAAACTGGACGCTTTGACGCCTTGGTGTGAACGGCCGTTCAGACCAAAGCGTCAAAGCGTCCACTTTCTATGTAAAGTCTATGTGGCCAGGTCCCGGTCTTTTCCAGAAACAATGTCAGACCAGACTGAGAGAGTGTTTTTATGACATAAAACATCAGCGGAGGAGATCGGGTCGACGACCGGGGCGTATATATATTTATACTCCGCTAATGACACTGAATCAGTCCCGGTCTAGTCCTGGTCTAATACCGGTCTAATCACGGTCTAGTCACGGTCTAGTCGTGGTTTAATCTCGGTCTATTCAGGGTCTAGTCCTTGTTTAGTCTCGGTCTAGTCTCGGTCAACTTCTTGACGCTGACGCCTTGGACGCGCGTCTAGACCGCTGACGCCAAAACGCTCAAGACGCGCCGCGTCGACGCCAGATTCGCGCCGCGCTGACGCCGAAAACGCGCCGCAAAAACAGAACAATTAAAAAACATCATGTGAACGTGGCCATTGTGTTCTAACAGTGAGTTTTTTAATCATTTCAATACCAGGTTTAACATTTGTGCATTACCTTTTGGATATTTCGTGGCAAAGTACAGTGTGATAAAGAGTAGAGGGGTGTGCAAAAATATTGAAATATCGATATATCGTATCGTTTAATGTGATGATACAGTATCGATATTGTGGGCTGCTCTATCGATATATCACCAAGAGTATTTTTGGTTTATTTTACTAAATGATTTTGTTACAGCTACAGTTTCGTTGTTTGTTTAGTGGAAGGAAACTCGTTTGACATTTTCGCTGTTTTGAGGATTAAAATGTTTGTGTTTCATATGAACTTTGCACAAGAAGTGGTTTAACAAAGATTTTCCATGATTTAGCCTTTATTTTTTTACTGAACCGTATCGAATCGAAAGCGCACTGTATCGAGGTTTGTCTCATATCAGTGACTTCTTAACAACACTCGGCCTCAGTCAACAGGGAAACGTGGCTCTTGCCCCGTCTGGGAGTATGACATCATCACATTTTAGAACCTGAAAACCTCCCAGTTCCATCAGGTTCACGGCGCCGATGACATCATACATGTAAAGTTCCATAAAGCCTTGTTACCATGGCAAGTCCGGAACTCAAAGCTAAACTTCAAAGCTTTGTGGGCTTTAACTCAAAGCTTTGTTTGGCCTCGGGGAGATTATAAGAGTAGGCAAATCGAAAATCACAAATCGAAAATCACATATCGCTTAACGGAAAAGGCACATTTAGCTGAGCTTGACACAGAGCAAATCGTACAAAGATTTCAAACAGTAGACTTCACAGAGGAGACTTTACAGAGTAGATTTCACAGAGTAGGTTGCACTCTGCGTAACAGTAAGTACAGCAACACTTACAAAACAACAAGGACTTATAAAGTAAAAAAAAAAAATGTTTGGAGAACTGCTGCTGGATCGCGTGTCTGCGGCTAAACTGCAAAATCGCCGAACCAAAGAAGCTGAAAGGCGAGAAAGAATTTTTAACTACAAAGAGCGGACCATAGGGGTGAGCGTGGCCTGTTTATCAGACGGCACAGTGGGAATATGTGCCTGGGAGAGAGTTATAATTGACAATAAATGACTCTTATTTCTGACTGTGCACACAGGTTGACAAGGAAACGTTGGACATGCAGCTGAAGGAAAAGAAACTAAAATATGCAATGGAAAAGGAGAAGCAAAAGGCCAGCGGTGAGGCTGCTTTGTTATGTCCCATCACTATGGTCATTATGTGGTATAACTTAGAAGTGCAACTACGGTAACTGTCCTCAAATCGACAAATAGCCTCAATAAACAAACACGTGTCATGTAAAGTCAAAGTAAATTTTAAGTTTTTAGTATGAAAAAATAGCTGGCTCAGAGGACCATAACCACAGCACTTTGCCAAAGTAAATAATGGATCATTTATTGTCTACTCGTTTAATTAAGACCAAGATTGAACAAAGTTCACAAGGGCCCAATGTTACACTATTTTAATTATGATGTTTTTTCCTCATCAAAAACATGCAAGAGTTGTGTTTGGTTTCATTCACACATGTTTAACACAGTTATTTTCTCAAGCAGAAAACACTCTCTTCCACCTTGTGATGTCATGTGGTAAAACAGGAATAACCATACCATACATTACAATCATTTGGATTATTTCAGCCCTGGAATTGCCCATCATTGTTTAACTAAATGTAAAAGGTAGCTGTTAATTTAAAGTAACACATAACATCACAAAGTGGAACTGAATATTTTGAGCTTTGGAGATGTAGTCAAATTATTAACTAAGGATTACTCAAACATGTGTGAATGAAATAAAACATAACTCCAGGTATGTTTTTTGATGAGGAAACAACATCATAACATACATCATAAGACATTTTTCCCCACAGATGCAGAGATGCTCCATTACCAAAAGGTAGCCAGCATTCTGACCCATCGTCAACAAAAGCAACAACAGCAAATAGCCAAGGACATGGTGATCTTCAGGCAGACGTACCAGCAGCCGTCCAGTCGGAGGGAGTTTGACCTGAATGACCCAGACTTGCTCAAAAACATGAGTCCTGAGGAGGCACAGATGATGATCCCCGGGCTGCCCGGTGAAGACCCCAACTGTAAAGACCGCCAGCAGAGACAAAGGGAGCAGCTCAGCCACTGGCTCATACAACAGCAGGCAGAACGCCAAGGACTAAGACACAAACAGGAGATGGAAGGTAGGTGTTGTTTTTTTATCAAAGAGTCAAATATCAAATAAGGATCTGGTGTAACACTATTAAAGGGCATGGGTGCTATTTTATGAATTACAATTCATAAAAATAATTACAGGGCTCATTAAGCTATTTTCTGATCTGCTGTTGTTGTATACTCATCAAAAACACACTTGGAGTTGTGTTTTGTTTCATTCACACAAATCTTGCACATTTTGGCTGAATTCCTCTCTCAAATTAAAAGCAATCCAGCTTGTGATGTCATGTGGTAATACAGGAAGTGCTCCACTGTGTTTTCAAACTCCATTCACTTTCACTAGAGTCATTTGGATCATTTCAGAATGGCTGATCTCTCAACAAAAGGTAAAAGGAGCTGTTAACTTGAAAACTACCACTTTTTTGCATTTTGAGCTTTGGAGATGTAGACTCAAACACGTGTGAATAAAACAACACACAACTCAGGGTATGTTTTGGATGACGTGATAACATTATAACATTGCTTAAAGCGCCCTATAGATATAGAATGTTCTATATCTATGAAAGTGCACAAGAAATCCATGTTGTGTATTATAGGACCTTTAATGTCTTTGTTATAAAACTATAGAGCTTGTGAACTGGTTAGATGCTGTAGATTTCTGTTTTCAGATAAGAACTATGACCAGTTCATGGTGGAGGTCAACAATATGGCTCTAGAGCTGCAAAACCTTGAGATGGAGAACCGAAAAGCCAAAGTCATGGCAACTAAAGATTTCAATCTTGCAATGGTAAGTCAACTTTCTAACAATTTGCCATATACCAAAATGTGAGTAACTAAGCACACTCTGAAATGAACCACTGCTCCCGATAAGATCTGCAAATATGAGATGGTGTGACCCAGACATGTAAACAGTCACAGTTCTGGACAAGTCTGTCAAAGCTTGATCCTGTCAGGTCTCTGAAGCTAAGCAAAGCCAGGCCTGGTACTTGGTTGGGAGACAGTGGGGGCAGTATTTTACCACCAGGAGTAATGAAGTGAATGAATAATGTCCAAAATTGTAAAGTGCCTTTGAGCGTCTGGGAAAGCACTATATAAGACTAATGTTTCTTGTTCTGATTCAATTCAATCAATTTGGAAGCATGAAATTGGAAAATGCACACACAAAAACTCAGTTTGTCTTCTCAAAGAGCTTTTATTTATGCCGGTGGAATGGGTTAGTGGTTGTGTTAGATAAAAAATAAGATGTGTAAATAACTACCACTATTTTTCCATGCCAGTCAGAAGAAAAAAGGCGTCAGCAATCTAAGGATAAGGACACCGGAGTTTGGGATGGATGGAGAGATCAATGCAGACTCCCCCCCCAAAGCATAGTGGAAAAAGAGAGGAAAGAGATCTTAAAGCTTAAAGAATTTCAGCAACAACAAATGGAAGAAAAAAAGGTTAAAAAAAAAAAAAAAAGCACATGACAGACCCTCATTCAGAAAAGTTACACAATACACATTTAAGCTACTGCTGTGTGCGTATTTGCAGAGACAAAAACTGAGTGAGGAAAATGAGCAGCGTTACTATGACAGCATCCGCATTGATTCAGCTCGGACGGCCACACTCATTGAGAGACAACAGGCAAAACTCAACAAACAAATGAGGAAACACCTGGACAGCACCAACCACATGTTAGCAGAGACCAGGAAACAAATGTAAATAGCAACAAAGTATTCAACAAAATAAAGTATTCAACAAAACATGCATGCACTTTTTAACAATATGTTCTATTTGTTTTTTGCCTTTAAAGAAAACCGGCGATTTCAAAGGGCGCTGTCACTGAGAGTTTCTTCACCCAGTTCAACACTTGCAGTCGATGATGAAAGTCGTATTGGACTGCATTAAATAAGCTATAAAATAACAACAAAACACATAATAAATCATGATAAGCAATCAACTTTCATTTGTCATTGAACGGAGTTGTTTGGGCAGCTTTAAAGGCAGATAATAACGGTAAGTATAAAATTCATTCACACAGTGGATCTCAACAGTGACTGCCCAAGTCCCAGACCTAGTGCTGTCATGTGATTAAAAAAATTGAGAGATTAATTAATTATGATCTGTAATTAATTAATCTAATTAATCTCATTTTAATCTCACCTAAAAATTGCTGAGAAAAGCCTTCAATTTGAGGTATTTTCATTTAAATTCATTATTACATTATTGTGGCAGATCAAAAGACTAATATAGATTTAAAAAAGTGACTTGATAAAGTCATTTATTGTTTAACAAATCTCTTCAATTTGGCTGTTGAGCCCAAGTCTCCATGAATAATAAACTGTTTGCTGTAAAGTAGCAAAGACGAGGAAATCTGAACATAATAACTTTTGTCTACTTAAAGACAATAAAAAGTCCAGTCTTTCCTTAACCATATTAAAAATATTATTGATAGAGAAATATATATGAGATCACTGGTTTTAGTCCTGGTTTAGACCTGGTTTAGACCTACTTTAGTCCTAGTTTAGTCCTGGAATGGGTTAATCCTGGTTTTAGTCCTGGTGTTAGTTCTGGTTTAGTCCTGGTTTAGACCTGGTTTAGTCCTGGTTTAGTCCTGGTGTTAGTCCTGGTGTTAGTCCTGGTTTAGTCCTGGTTTAGACCTGGTTTAGACCTGGTTTAGACCTGGTTTAGTCCTGGTTTAGTCCTGGTTTAGACCTGGTTTTAGTTCTGGTTTTAGTTCTGGTTTAGTCCTGGTTTAGACCTGGTTTAGACCTGGTTTTAGTTCTGGTTTTAGTTTTGGGTTAGACCTGGTTTAGTCCCGGTTTTAGTCTTGGTGTTAGTTCTGGTTTAGAGGCGCACAGGAGGAAGCGCAGTTTACGCCGCGTACGCGAGAAAACACGATCCACACGCGGCTCACGGGAGCACGTCGGTGTCCGCGCAGTGTCTACGGAAGGAAACGTGGTCCGCGCGTTCTCAGGTTAATGACGATGATGAAGGTGTGTGTTTGTTTGTGTGTGTTTGTGTGCGTGTCCCCTCATGTGGCAGGTCACTATAGGACAGTAGTGCAGACATCATGAGCCTATGCAGGTTGTTTTCAGGCGATATTATATTTGTTATTTTTCTTTTATATTTCACGTCGGGAGAATAATTTCCAAGACACAAATGTGTTTTTACCTGTGCACTGCTGCCTCTGTTCTACTGGCTCTACGACCTCGTCCATTGTGCGACTGACGCCGCCAGCGTTAACATGACGTTTACATCGCTCTTACTGCGCGCGTTTTGTGTGGGTTTCCGACAATGAGTGGAATTACCGAAATAAAAAATTTATAAATGTGTTTTGTGTGTGTGTGTTGTTGTCCCAACAACACATAAAAACAGGTTTTATAATAAATAAACTCACATACAGAAACACTAAAGTTAGAGATTAAAAATGAGATTAACGCGATTAAAAAACATAACGCGCTAAATATGACTGTAATTAATTAATCGCAATTAACGCGATAATTTGACACCCCTACCCAGACCTATCATTTTATTTAAAATCTGTTTCTGAAACCACTCAGTTATTAAAGCATTTTGCATAATCTTGTGTTTTAAATGTGCTTTCTGAATATTAGTTAGCAGATAGGTGTTTAGTCTCCACAATGTCTTTAATATCTATTGGAAAAATGAATGAAAATTTTACTTCCGGGACCGGAGCGAGCTGTCACTGTTGAGCTCCATTCATTTCACCTGAAAAAATATGTTTTAAAAATTGTCTCCAAAGATTTGAAAGCACTCATCACATTAAAAATCCAGTGTTCATACTCTTAAAAAAACATAAAAGTCTAAAGTGCAATTGTAAAACGATAATTTCTTGTCACAGTTTTAAAGGCTGAATTTAAATTATGTGTCTCCAACACTGCTACAAATCACTATTTAAATGATTACAATAAGCAAATCACAAAATGTCTTGTCTTGTTATGTAAATACAGCCTGTATTTTTTTCCTGTTTAAAATATGAACTTTGGATAGAACCCTGATATTAAAGTATTTTCAGATATAAATTTGTCCCATCTTTTCTGCCACATAGCCAAAGCTTTATCTCGTTGCTGGGCGGGTAATGAACTGTACCTGGAAGATAACACAGGCATTATGACAGTAATTAAGATATTCACATTAGCTCATTGAAAAACACCCTATAAACTCAGTCTTACTTTATGGAGTTCATAGCCAGTGCTTTGAGGGTGCCTAAGTTGGACCTTAAGCCCCCAAATCCAACAAAAGCTTCATAAAAGTCATAGGATAAACCCGAGGCACCGAACATGGCCGGATCATCAGAGCTGATGACCAAAGGGTGGCCCTCTGCCATCAGGACTGCCCCGGGGTGGTTTCTTAAATTTTTTGTCAACAACTTGAAAGAATATCACAGGTTTAACTTTACCCTGTTGGAGTGTTAACTCTTTCCTACATTCTGATACTTTACTTATTTCAATAGTCCCTCTAGTGTCTGAATGAGAACTATTTGAATGTCAAAAATCTACCCGTTTCCCTCCGTTACCGCTTGACCGGACCCCAGTGTATCGGCAGTAACCGATCTATCCGAACTATTTAATGTCAACAAACATCGTTAGTCGTTAATGATTCATTTATGTTTAGGTAAACCACAAACAACAATTTAGCTTTGTAACAAACCTTTGACGAAGTGTTCACTGCAGACACGAGCATTTGCGGATTCTGCTCCTCCCGACCGCAAACGTAGGTTTGTAAGAGAGCCCGACCGATATATCGGTTGGCCGATATTATCGGCTGATATGGGCAACTTTAGGCATATCGGCTATCGGCCGATATGCTTGCTGATAGGGGCGAATTTTACATGGGCATGTTATACCTCGTTATAAAGCTTAGACTCTCTACATTCTGTTCATTTAATCCAATTTACAGACAGATAAATGTCCTAATATGTGGCTCCACATCAGTATTTATCTACGGAGTCATTTGTCTGTGTGTGTCTGTACTGTCCCTGAACACACCACAGAGTCGTCACTCACATGTGTTTGTTTACTCGCAGATACAGATCCAAACACTGAGATTATATTCTTTTTACGGACAATCGGTTTGAGTCTGGATTAAAAGGACATTTATTAGTGCAGACTTGTGATGTGAGGAGGAGCCTGTATGAGCGGTGAGTGTTGGAAATATGTCGACTCTGAAGCTAGTTTTTGTCATTTGTTATGGGTTAGCTGCTGTAGCTCCCGCACATAAACAGACTGTTTTCTATTGGTCTGTTCTAAAGTGACTATATTGGCCGTATATTTGCTACTGGACCTGCACTGATATGTAAATAAGCTGTGAACAGACGTGTGAATTATGACATTTGTGCATATAATTAATTACCGCGGCGCGCACGTATTTACGGCTAAAGGCTAATAGCGCTACTTTCTTTACTAGTTATGGGTCCGTCGCGAACGAAATGACTCTTAGAACCGGCTCTTTGAAGGGAACGACGGGAGCCTGATCCTTATTGGGAGCCGTGTTTTCTCTTTCTCTCACTTTTTTTCTCTTCACGCCGCGTGATTCGTGGTTTGACAGCGGCAGCGGCTAAAAACGAAACTTTGAGAAATTTGCGTGTACGTAGGATTAAAAAAAATAAAAAATTAAAAAAACGAGCATATTTGACTATAGTTTAGCATAAAATAAATAAGTCCCGGTTTAGTCCTTTTTCAGTCCTGGATTAGACCTGGTTCAGTCCTGATTCAGTCCTGCTTGCAACAAAACAATCTGAAGAGCCACTTGTATGGAGTAAGAAAGCTGTCAAAAATATTTGTGCGCATAAAATAGAAATCCGTGCGTATTTGGGAAATCCGTGCATATTTGGCTGTAGTTGCGCATAAAATAAATATTTGTAAACTCTCAAATGACTCCAGTCGTACATAAAATATATTGTGTGTATTTTATCCATCAGAATACGAATTGAAAAATTACGACGTCATGAATTACAATCACGGCATGAAAATTTACGATTACGCTTTCATCAGTACGAATACGAATTCACAGACGGAACTTTACTGTCAAAAATACGTCATCACTTCACAGACATTATCCATCGAGCAGAAGAAACACCGATCAAGATCAAGACTGCGCATGCTCAAGTTTGTAGCAGAGAGTAAAAACAGAGTAATAGCACAAGAAGCTACAACAGCGACCAACAAGTGGGTTAATTAAAATCTATTGTAAAAATGTCTTGAATTCGGGAACCGAACGCTGCTGTATAATATTGTGTAGAAACACCTCCTTTGAACGGGAAATTGCACCTATATGTTAGATAACATAGTGGTAGCCAGTTGGCTAACATCCGACGTAACGTTATCGCAGGGCTAATTAGCAAATATCAGGTTCTCTGTAGGTTTAGATTAAAACATTCACGACTACAGCCACAGCGAGCATCAGTCAGTCTTCACTTCAGCTGCATTTCTCGCATGAAATGCCACCAAAAGTTCCTCGGGACGCTGAAATGTCCCAGTTTACACCAAACACTACCAAACTGTCCTGGTTACAGACGTCACAGCTAATGAAATGTTACACATTACAGTTTAATGCAGCTTCCAGCATCAATTAATGTTCGTGTTTACAGGCAACACCTTGGTATGTTTACAGTATTTACCGGTAAGTATAACGTCACCGTGACGTGGATGGATTTGCTCATTATAACCCATTATAACTCATGAAAAACCCATTGTCTGAAATGCAGCTGAGATGAAGACTGGCTGATGCTCGCTGTGGCTGCAGCCGTGAATGTTTTAATCTAAACCTACAGAGAACCTGATATTTGCTAATTAGCCCTGGGATAACGTTACGTCGGATGTTAGCCAACTGGCTACCGCTATGTTATCTAACATATAGG